CTCCATGAGGGGCAGGAGGCCAGGCAGAGGGACCGGAGGGGTAATGAGTCCTGGGAGCTCAAGGGGCTGCCCGGAGGCTGGCGTGGGGTGGGGGGAGCAGGACCGGGGAGCGGCTGGCACCCCCTGGAGGGCATTCGTAGGGTTTGGCAGGTTCAGTGAGGAGTGTTAGGGGTTGGTCCAGGAGTGACGGCTTTCACTTCAGGTCCTGGGCGGGGAGCTTGCAAAAAGTGAGCTGTGGCTAAATTTTCCTGGGGTGACCGTCCCCGAGGTGGGGGATGGGGAGGAGGCAGAGTGCTCCGCTCCCCCTCTATCCCCTCCCCGCCCCCAGCTGTGGAAGCCACATTCTCAGTCTAGGGAGTTTGGTACCACATTTCCCATCTGCCCCCACGCAGACCCACCCTCGGTCTCCGCCGTCAATGCGGTGGTGCTCGCCGCCGTGGGACAGGAGGCCGTGCTGGCGTGCGAGGCGTCCGGGGTGCCGCCGCCCCGGCTCATCTGGTATCGAGGTACGTGGGGTGGGGAGAGGGCCCCGGGGGATCCGATTTCCAGGACAGTCACTGGGGACAGGGCACTCCGAACGGGGTGTCTGGGGAGAAATGGCCCATTTCAGCAGCCCTCGCCCCCCACCCACAGTCCACGCAGCTGATGCAGGGCAGCTCGGGAGTGAGGAGCAGGTTTGGTTCCGGCTCCCTGGGCACCTGTGGGCGGGGGCTTGGCATCTCTGGGCTGGCTCCCTGTTGGGGAAACGGGAACCCCAGATGGTTGCGAGGATGAGACGAGTCCACGCAAGCAAAGTGTCTAGAACGAGCCGGCGCTCGGCTGCACTCAGTGCTCCTAGAGATGGTGGCGGCGGTGACGGGATGGCCTGGGAGACGGAGGAGCAGCCACGACTGTGCCGAGGTTCTTGGGGTTCGCGGGTGTGGAGTGTGTCCTCGGTGCTGGACGCCCAGCTGGAAGTTGGATGGGCAGGAGCTGTTCTGCGCACCCACCCGCGGGCCGGGCGTGGGTGCGGGGCTGCTGCCTCGGACACTGGGCTCCTGCTCCGGTGTCAGCCAGAGCCCCGTGGCGCCCCCACCTGGACACCTCCATCCTGTGCAGCCCCTGTCTGCACCTGGGCTTTGAGAGAGGCAGGGATGAACTCAGACAGAGTGTGAGCATCCTGTCCCAGGGCCCCAGCCGGTGGGGGCAGAGGCCTCGGGACCCCTGGTGCAGGGCCACGTCCCTGCGTGTTCCCGCCCTCCCAGCCCCGCCCTGAGCCGCTTCGAAAGGGGCTCTCTCAGTGGGATGTTGTTTACCCTTAAAAAGGAATGAAGTTCAAGTGTGTGACGATGTGAGTGTATTTAACCCCACAGACGTGTGCACATAACCGTGGTGGAGATGGTGAATTTTATGTTCTGTGTTTTTTTACCACAGCTTTTTTTTTTAATTTATAAAAAAGAATCAGAAAAAGACAAAAACAAAGAAAAATAAAAGAAAAAAATAATGAAATTCTGATACAACATGGACGATCCTTGAAAACCTTATGCTAAGTGAAATAAGCCAGACACGGAGGACGCACATTACCTGATTCCACTTACATGAGGTCCCTAGAACATGCTCATCCATAGGGACAGAGAGTAGAAAGGTGGTCACGGGGGCGGGGGGTGAAGCGGGGAATTCGTGTCTAAGGGGCACAGTTTCGGTTTGGGAAGATGAAGGAGTTTTGTGGGTGGACGTGGTGATGGGTGCACGACACTGGGAATGCACTTCATGCCACGGATTGGACACTGAACGTGCTTACGATGGCAAAAATGTGTGTGATGTGTGTTTGACCACAAGTGAAAAACTAAATGACACGTTAAAAGGGGTTCAGAATCAGGGAGTCTGTCAGCCAGCAGCCTGGAGGAGAAATAACGGGGGGCCTCAGGGTGGATGTCTGGGGCGGCCTCAGAGAGGCAGGCATGGGGTGTGTGGTCATCTCGGGGTGACCAGGCCCCTCCCAGAGCTGATCCAAGCCTCAGTCTGGACCCGGGGCAGAGGGTGGGGACCCAGTAGGGAGGCCCAGGCAAGGAGTTTTTGGGTGAAGAGCCTGTTACATGGAGGGAGACAGGCTGGGCCTCACTCCTGCTCCACTGAGGGGCTCGGCGGGCTGACTGAGGGTGCTGACTTTAAAAGGTTTAATTGCGGTAAGAGACACAGGAAGAATTTACCATCTTCACCATGTTTAGGTGCACAGTCCAGTGGCATCAGGGACACCCCCACCGTCGTACAACCATCACCACCATCCGTCTCCAGAACTCTTTTCCTCTGGCAAAACCACAACTCTGTCCCCAGACTTTCGGGGAACCTTCCCCCACTGCCCCAGGCCCCAGCCTGTGTGTGGCAGGAGCCTGGGGTCAGGGAGGCTGCGTCCCAGCCCCCACGGCGACAGAGGGCTTGCCTGATGCGTTCTCCTCTTTGGTCCAGAGGGTCTCGAGATGATTCTGGCCCCCGAGGACTCGAGCTCCGGGGCGCTGCGGATCCCGGTGGCTCGGGAGAGGGATGCTGGCGTCTACACCTGCCGAGCCGTCAACGAGTTGGGCGCCGCCTCTGCGGAAATCCGGCTGGAGGTTGGACGTGAGTGTTCGCCTGTCCCCGCCTGCCCGCCCGCCCCTCTACCCCACTGCAGAGCGGGAGGAGAGAACCCCTGCAGGTAGCCGGCCAGTGCAGAGTCTCGAACACTTGGGGACAAGGGAGGTCCGAGGGAGATGGTGTATGCATTACCTCTTTTTTTCCTTTTATTTTTTTTAAATTGATTTCAGAGAGGAAGGGAGAGGGAGAGGGAGGGAGAGAGATAGAAACATCAGTAATGAGAGAGAATCATTGATCGGCTGCCTCCTGCATGCCCCCTATTGGGCATGTACCCAGGCACAGACCCTTGACCGAAATCGAACCCGGGATCTTTCAGTCCTCAGGCCGACGCTCTATCCACTGAGCCAAACTGACTAGGGCTCTTTTTTCCCTTTTTATTAAATTTATTGGGGTGACACTGGTGAACAAGATTCTACAGGTTTTAGGTGCACAATTCCAGAACGCGTCGTCTGTACACGGTACTGTGTGTTCACACCCCAAGTCAAGTCCCCGTCCATCACCACGTATCCCCCTATGCCCGCCCCCCCTACCCCCTCACCCTGCTGTATTACCTCTCACTGGGTCACAATTGCCCCAAAACTTTGTGGCTTAAAATAATAAACATGTTTTCCCTCTCGGTTCTGGAGGGCTAGGGTTCTGGGAGGGGCTTCGCTGGCGGGCGCATCCCCACTGAGCTCACTGACAGGCTGCTGGTGGGAGGCCTTGTCCTTACCACGTGGGCTTCTGCAGCTTCTTGGGACATGGTTTCCCCAGGAGTAAGGAAGAGAGAGAGAGAGAGAGAGAGAGAGAGAGAGAGAGAGAGAGAGAGCGAGCGCTTAGAATCAGCTACCGGCTTGGAAGTGACCTGCCATGACTGTGCCTGCTAAATTCTGTGGCTCACACAGACCAGCCTTGGACCACAGAGGGTGGGAGGGCTACCCGGGATATGAATACCAGGAGGCAGGTGTCACGGAGTCATCCTGGAGGCCGCCTACCACGGAGGCGAGCTTGGGCGTTGTCATCCTGAGACCTGAGCTCCAGGCTCATCTCCATCACTTACCATCTGTGTTTGGTCAGGCCATTGAGCCTCAGTTTCCCCCAGCTGACCATATCACTTCCTCTTTTTTTGATTGGAGGGAGAGAGAGAGACGGAGGGAGAGGGAGCAGGAGAGACAAATATTGATGAGAGAAGCATCAACATCAATCGGCTGCCTCTTGCACGCCCCCTACTGGGGATCGAGTCCACAACTCCATCATGCGCCCTGACCGGGAATCGAACTGGCGACCTCTTGGTGCATGGTTGATGCTCAACCACTGAGCCACACTGGCCGGGCCAAACTACTTTCTTTATTGGGTGGCTGCGAGGGCTCAGTGACCTCAGGCACATTCTGCTTTGCACATGGTCGGCCCATCGTGACTGCTTAATAAATGAGGGGCGATGATCCCC